TTTTTTTTTTTTTTTTTTTTTTTTTTTTTTTTAGTATCTCAATTAACGTACATAAACGATTTATTAAATAGATTATGACATTAATTTAATAAAATTCATTAAATCAATCTCAAATGTACGAAGCGGATTACGAAATTTATTAAATAGGTTATAAAATAGATACGCTTGAAATTTGGCGAAAGAAAGGAGAAAAGTTTTACTGCAATTTCCGCAGACATTAAAGACGTACGCAAGACATCACTTAATTTTTGTCAAAAGTAATGAAAGTAACTTGAAAAGACACGAACGACTCATCGCGTGTACTTAAATACGGATGACCGAAAAATCGGAGTAACAGCATGAATGAAATGTTTCCTTCGACACCACGTTTTTTTCTTCACAAATATCGAACTGTCAGTGACGACTCTGACAATGAGTCACGATACGCGAATCCAAACACGATGTACACGGCTTAAGCTTGCGTAACTTGCGTTCGGGCATTCCCAGGCGTCGAGTAAACTTTTATATCGAATTACCTTTGCACAGAGGAGATCCGATTGCCGACGTCTTCCGCTTATTGCGCGCCCGCCTTTATCCGACGGTATAAATCCGGACGACGCGACGACGTGCAGGCTAGCGAGATACCGCGTGATTGGAAAATGCAAATGACGAGCGCGGTGGAGAGTCACGTCATAATGGCAATTGGCACGCTCGGTTGCCACGAGCGACGATTTCGCCTCGTCGACGACAAAACTCTGCCGGCTCTGCCTGCCTAGACGAAAGGAAATTGGATTCTACTTTCGCGCTGCATTTCACAGCGCTGTTCGAAGTTTCCACCTCGGGATGACGCCGGGTTTGCAAGCCGTCGCGCGCGAGATGTAGAAAAATCCGGAACTAGAATAACGGCCGCGATAATCGCCACGCCGGCGTACGAGAATGGATGAGAGTAAACAAGCGAACATTCGAGGGTCGCTCCATGCAACGGGCGATGAACTTTTTATTCGCGAGCGTGATTTTTATGCGGCGCGTCCCACGATCGGTAATTGTGAACCTCAGGCGTGCAATTTATGTAATACGATTTAAAAATAGATATGTAAATCCTCCATGTACCGACGATCGCGAATTGATTTCTCTAGAACCGATGGAGCTTACGAAACCTCGCGGTTCTTCTTCGCAAGATTACGGATACTTTTCAGTAAGTGTGGTGCGAAACCCATTCTTGCGTAAGCGTAGGTGTAAGTGGTTGTAATTGTAATTCTACAATAAGCCTTCTACAATAAGCCATTAGTGATAAATCAGGGAGTCGATTGCGTATCTCGGAAATTACAAAAGTGAACAAATTCACTAGATAACGACCAATTAAATTATGAATATTCTAGTGAATTTGCTCACTCTTGTCATTTTTACCTCATTTCGAGATACACAGTCGACCACCGGAAGACAGAAGCTAAAAATTGACCAATTACAGTCTAATGTAGGAAGAATAATCGACTATGGCTGGTCAATTTCCAGTTTCTGACTTCAGGGGGTCGATTGTGTATCTCCGAGGTGAAAATGACAAAAGTGTGCAAAATCATTAGAATATTCATAATTTAATTGGTCAATAACTAGTGAACTTGCTCACTTTTGTAATTTTCAACTCATTTCAAGACCGACTCCCTGATTTATTACTAATGATTTATTGTAGAAGAATTGATGACAGTAGAATATTTTCCTCATATTTTCAACTGTGATTGGTTAATTCTTACAACTGCAACCACAACTATGCTTGCGCAATTGTAGAATGGGCTTAAGAATCGATCAACCACCGTCCAATATTATCTTCACCTTCAATTGTGATTGGTCAATTTTTGCAATCGCTTACAACTAAGCTTACGTAACTGTGGAATGAACTTAAAGCTCATCGATCAAATTCATTTTAGATTTACGTAAATGGTTTGTAGTTTTTAAAACGGACTCTACATTTGTCATACAAATTTTTCAAACGTGTTAATCGGCTGTAAAACATCGAGGTCTCGAATCTCTCTCTACCTTACAGCCAATCAACAAGAAAAATAATTTACCGTACGACAAAATCACTCTCGCTGGAAACGGTACATCGACGACATTAATTAATTACCAATTCTCTCGTAATTAATTATAAAATGATACTTTACGTCCAAGTGAAAGCTACGAAGTCATCAATGTGACGTTACGCGAAATTAGGTTGTCCCTTGTAGATTTTTATAACAGCGTTCTTTACTTTGGGAAAACATTTCGCATTACCCGGCATTTATTACGATCGATAAAATTTCGTTTAAACAAAGCAACTGCAGCAGTTTCGAATTTCACTCGAAATAACGGAGGCGAAGTTTTACGTAGCGACAAACCACCCAATTCTCGCCCCAGCGTTAGTCGAGCGGGAAGAGAAGGAGGGAGGGAAGCGGAATGGTGTCGACTTACCGCCCTTGGAACTTCACGTGCTGCTCCGCGCTCCAATTCCGGGCGCATTTATGTATCTCGATCCGTCGTGGCGCATAGTATCGATTGTGTCAATTGTATCGACTGCCTTCCACCTGCCGCAGCGAGAACGATCTTCGCCGGTTTCACGATTTCACGGCGTCGCCCGTCGACCGCCACTCTGGCGCATTCCACAGCACGGGGAACACGCACACGAGTCTCACGCGCGCACGCACACGGACACGCGTGTGAACCACACCAACACAGACGAGAATTACACGCGCGAGCACGCGTTTACCGATCGCGAACGAGCCGAATTGTCCGGCTGAAAATTCGCCGAAATTATCACGAGCGGTATATACGTTCGAACCGCACCGCGTTATCGGATCGTATTGTTGCAACGGAAAAAAGTTACGGCTACAGCCGTGAAATTTCAACGGGGAACGATTACGGGTAATTAGGTTATCTTTCGTGCTTTCCGCGAAACGCTCGCGGATGGAATTCAGTTGATACGAAAAAGGCGGCGATCGGTCCCGACGCGATAAAAAAAAAATCGAGCACTTTCGCGTCCCTTTGCGATCGCATAAAGCGAGATGTATGTACAGCGTAACAATTCGACAAGATGCGATGAACAATACCGACAATACCGTTGTTCGTGCTGCGAATTAAGCACCGCAATCAGACGCCATGATGTCGCGAAGGTTAGGATAATACAAAGACGTATCTCCAGGGGGTCCCGGAATCGAAGGTATCACACGCGTTGGATTCTTCATAAAAAATTTTTTATTGTGCCAATAAATATTAAGATTAGATATGTCGTTAGCTTGAGAGGGCTATATCGAGGCCGTTTTGGAGCTGCCTTATCTTTATCATTAAAGCAATCAGTTTTTGAGACCCGCCGTGTATGTACATATCATAAATATATATCAAATCAAACCGAAGATATTTTGCGACAATTCCATTGGGGGAAAGAAGAGAATAAATGGAGAATAAATATATGTAATCCTAGCATTAAAAAATCTAATATCTCTTAAAAAAATTTACTTTTTATATCTTGTGTGGAGAAAAAAAAAAAAGACTATCCTATCCATCCCCGAACGAATAATCGTCGCAATCCAATACAATTGCGAAATATCCTCAGTTTATGATGTAACAAACTTAAAATACATTTTTGAGTATTGTAAAAATTTATAAGAAATTATTTCTTACCCGTCGCGCATATAAAAAAGTTTAAATTCAATAAATATAACTTTTGATAGAGCTTGCGCGAACAAGTTTTTTTTTTTTTTTGGTTACTTCAACTTCCAGCGTTTTGACATTTGATCGAATAAAAGCATTGGCCCTGCCATGTATTATTGCATGAATATTTATATATATATATATATATTTATATAAATATGTGTAAAAAAGTAGAAAGAGTTTACGATGTACGCACTACGCACGCGAAGAAAGCGATGGAATGATATAAATATTATGAAAGGTCCGCTCTCTTCTCTTCTAGCATATCTATAAATATTAGTATAGATCGAGGCTTTCCCATTCATTTCTCGTGTTCATGTTTTTGAAGTAATTGTGAGCAGGTCACTGCAGAGAAATTATTTGCTACCGTAAATTTTATATTACTTCAATCAGGGTTAGTAAAAAAACATGTTTCAAACAGTTTAAAACATACTTAATTGATGTTTTTAATATGTTTTAAATGTTTTTTTTTAAGTACTGTTTAAAGCATATTTGAAGCATTAAAAACATGTTTAAAAACAAACATGTTTTTTCTTTAAAAAAAAAAGGGTAAAGATTTGTAAAAAATCCACAGGGTTGAAACTGATGGAACAGTCTCGTTCTATCCTACGTGTATAAAAAACATCATTCCTGCCTCAATGACGGAATCGTGTCACTTGAACATAAATAAATTATACTCGATATATGAATGTTGCACACAAGGCACGCAAACTTGACTGCGTTCGCTAGGAAGAAAGAGAGATCGACATGCAGTAACTTTGAAGAGAAGGTTCCTCGCTTTTCTCTTATCTCAACATGGAGAATCCTTTCACTTTTGTGAAGCGAAATGGTCTACAGTGTATATAACGCATGTTGCACTCTGGCGACGAGGCACGTACTGCACGTACCGGCGTGCTAATTTCATTCTCCTTATTCCAGGCGTGTCTCGGTGATTCGATGCCAAAAGGACTGTAAAGTTTAGTCGGTGTGCGACCTAAAAGTTGACGGGAGCGAGTCTGAGGTGTCTGCATGTTGGATGGAGACTGTTGTTCCTCTAGTCGCTGACGTCTACGTGTGGAACTCTTAAATTTCTATACATAGGAAAGAATTGTTTAAGTATCATTTGTTTAGTTTTGATATGTGTATTGATATTATATATTTGTTATATTATCATAATATAATGCATTAAATTTATATATCTAATAATATATATTTCTAATAATACAATTAAACTATTATTTAAGCTTTAAATCTTAAACTGTAAGAAATTGACCAATCATAGTCGATTATTCTTCTTACATTCTCAATTATGATCGATCAATTTCTTACAACTTAAAACTTAGGTAATGGCTCATTGTAGAAAGCCATTTAGACATTTACACTAAAATTTTTAATAGACATTAAAACTAAAATATAATTAATATAAAAATAATTGTTTTATAATTTCAATAGAATTAATTCTGATTGAACCAAATAATTAGAATGATTATTAAATATTAAATAAAGATGAAAAAATAATATTAATTTAAATTTGTTGAAATCTATAATAGACAGTCCAAGTAAGAAACATAAAATTCATTTCTTGTCATAAATTTTCATACATCTTACCTGAGATATTGTGCCAAAAGTAGTACGCACGGAGGATATTGTCTTGGACAGCTTCTCGGCACCGTTTCGTAACGCTCGTCTCGAATCCGCGGATACATTGCCAAGGCTGATATTGTTCCAGGACCGGTCGGTCGAATCCTTTGCCTTCTGTGGTTTCTCTTTCACATCGTTGTTGGACGATCCCCGATCTTTCTCGAATCGATCTTGCAGACGCTGACGTAGATTTCGCGAGCTTCGCACCATCTCCGGCGAGTTTCGTACGCTTAGCACCTCCCGGTGAAACGTGAACGAGACGCTGCGCGAGTCCGGTCGCATCTCGGTGAATCCTGTCGTCTATAGGTAATAATTGTATCGTCGTAAATCCTGAGGCCCCGTCCAAGATAGTCCTGTCCTAAACCTGATGGATCGAATAACGAAACGCAATCGCGACCGTTGGTAACCGTTTCTCAATGATTTTCGACCACCTGATATGACCTGATATCCCATGGAACAACTAGAAAGGAAACTCTCGTTCCCATAACATTTTTATGGGGTTCCGCGCAACTTGCGTCGGGAGGAACGACCTGATTGGTGGACTTGGCGCTTAATTTTGAAAACGTTCGCTAGAATTGCAATTTTTGAAAATTTAATTGTGTTTTGTTTTTTTCCAATACTCTTTCAATCTTCAGTGTTGTATTATATTTTTTCAGTATATATGAGAATATAATCAGCAAAGTGGTTGCACCAGCGGTAGTTTCAAGAATTACGATTTTAACAATTCGGGTGATTTTGAATAATCAACAAAGTATCACGCGAGAGTACAATCGTAATCAAATAGCGTTGTTTATTTATTTTTAAAATAATTTTCAAAAACGTCTTCGGGACATTCTTTGACAAAAATCTTGTAGACACAATAATATAGAAAAAGATCTTTGAGACACGTCTTTAATTCTGAACTCGTGTTTCTCCGAATCATCTTTAAGACGAAATAAAGCTTCGAAACAAAGTATAATTTTGCATTTGTTACTATACATTTATTCTGCAATACATCCTCTAATAATAAATCGTAAAATTAACGTTTACAAGCTAACCATTAAAGTTGGGACAGTCACGTATTTCCTTTAACAATACGTCGCTAGCGCCTCTAGTTATTTTTTTACTCCGTGCATTTGACGCGTATATCACGTGACGCGTAGTGACGGCCGGCCTCAACGGAGGTGTGGGTGGGGAGCGGGCGGGGGGAGGGGGAAGGGCGGCCGTTGGCGGCGGCGGCGTTGCCGTCAGTCAGCCGCGGCTCGCCTCGCGGTATTCGTGGTACTTGTGTCGGCAACAACGCCATTCGTTACGGTCAGCCGTCTGTCGTCGCGCGACTCGCGGCGCAGTGTGCGATATTCGTGCGGCCGAACACACCTAATGTTTGTGTTTTCGTGCCTGTCGTGATAATCAAAATCGTCGCAGACGAATTGTCACGCGAGGCGGTGAGTAGGACGCGCGCGCGGCGACAGCAGCGGACGCGCCGCCCTGGCATGTAGCTATCGCTACCACCGGTCCACGTCGTCGGCGTCGCACCGTCCGGCCCTCGAGATGTGGACAACGACGAAAACCACCAAGTACGGCGTCGGTAAGTCGTTTTATCTTGTACAACGCGCGCGTCTCCCCTTCCGTTTGCCATGCTCCACTTCGGAGCTGTCAAAATTTCACGGCCGCGGTCCGGCCGGTCCGGCCGGGAATCCCCCGTAAATGATCGCGAGATCGCGCGGCGCGTGACAGCTCGCGACAATTTCGCTTGGATGACGTTCGCGAGGATCCTCACAAACGCACTTTCTCGCCGGCGGCGGCGGTGATGTGCCTGTATGTGTGTGTGTGTGTGCGTGCGTGCGTGCGTGCGTGCGTGCGTGCGTGCGTGCGTGCGGCGTGCGTGCGCGTGTGAGTGTGCTCCATTCATGCATTGATCGTGCGCGCGAGTAGTAAAGTCCGCGCTTGATAAAGCCGGGTCGGTCCCGGATTTCGCGCCTCCGCGCTCTTCCGAGACGCGACGAATACTTTCGGCATCCTTATCTCGAATGTCCCGAATGTTGCTACGTGGCAGCGGGATTCAGTAGATTTAAAAGGAAGATGAATCCTTTATAATACCAATGTTTCAACGATGACAATGTCGAATGATAATTTTGGTGTACATACTGGTGATTTGCTATATTAGAGGCTAAAGTAGCAGGTAATGCGTTTATATTACCTAGGAGAATTCCATTTCGTACGAGAGAGATACGGGGAATATCTGACTCACACTAATTATCGTGTTTTGTCGAGTAAAGATATATGGCACAGAGTATAAGAAGAAAATTTATAAAAACACGAAATCCTGCGGAATTTTAACGTCAAGCCATTTGAACTGTAAACAAGAAGTAGCAAATCAATCACTCTTTCAACGATACGTGCTCGTTTCTGCGAATGTAGTTTAATTTTAATCTCGATTCAGCTAACTTTATCTTGTTCTAGTTCTAAGAATTAAAAAAAGATAAAGAGTAAGTTGAACCAAGATTATAGTTAATCTACATTGGTAGAAATAGTAAGAGAAATCTGATGTGAAGTTTAATTAATATTAAAATGTTGCAACACAATTTTGTGTAAAATTCACATCACTATTTGATTTTATAGAAATATACAAACGTAACGGTTTACAGAACTGGCCGCAATTCAGACTTTTCAGAGAGAATCGGAATATGAAATGATGAAGGATTCTGATTGGTGGATTCTATTGTGCTTTATGTGTTATGCAAAAGTCTGTGCTGCAGCCTTTATGGGCTTTCTATAATAAAACACTACCTAAACTTTAGATCTTAAGCCATAAAAGTTGACGTAGTCAAACGTAGTCGGATGTGAAGAAGAATAATCGATTACGATTGGTCGATTTCTTACGGCTTAAGACTTGAATCTTAGGTAATGACTTATTGTAGAAAACTGGTAAAAACATTATGAAGAACGTACGCAAAGAAATATTTCTTATAGCGAATTCGATTCAGTGCATTAAAGTCATCGTACACAAATTGACGTAAAGATGTTTACTAGAAATGTTCAATATAAATATAAAAACGAATTAAACGCGATGTCCTCAATATGGAGACAGTTCGATAAATCAGTGACTTTTTAAAAGAAGACTATGTTGAAAAAAAAACATATATATATATATATATATATATATATATAAGTCAAATTTTAGTAAAAAAATTTAAAACAGTTATTTACTTATCAAATTGCCTTCGTACATTTTATTATATACTATTATATACAAAAAAATATTTGATTTGAAACGAACGAACTGGATTTAACCAGTAAATTCTAATTCGTCCATTTCCAATTAATCCGTTCAGTCATTTTTTTCAGCGCGTGCTGCTAAATAAAATGTATTTTATAATTCGAAATATTTGCATTTGATTTTTACACAGATTAAATCGATGTACCACGACTTTAATAGATATGCACCAATGTGTCCAACTGAATTCGCTATTTTTAAAAAGAGAGAAAAATACGTTTTTAGAAAAGATTAGGAAACATTTAAAAAAAGATAAAATGCAAATGGAATTTTATCGTTGTGATGGAATGTTTATGTGCGATGATGGTTAGCTATGTCAAGTGGCTGTGTCTGCTTGAAGATCTCTGACGCGGCAAAAAGTATGCGAAGACGAAGAACGAGACTTTGGCTTCGGAATCGGAATCAATTTACAGCTCGCCATCGTTCTCTCGTCCGGCATTTTTTCGCGATTAATTAACGCTCGCGTTAATCCTCGGCGCTCGGTTTAAGGTCGTTAGCATCACCGTCAACTCAATCTTCTTTCAAGCAGTGCAAACGGCTTTAATCCGATAAATAACGCCTTTAGTCAGGGATGATGAGATTAATCATTGATTCCTCGGCCTCTCTCTTTTTAATCATCGGTGTTTCTCGTTGTTAGCCACTTACCTGAAGCCATTTACCTGTTTATGCAATTTATTCGATAAAATAATTTAATAAATTATGTTCTTTATATCGATGACATATTATTAGGTTAAGTAAAAAGTCATCGCGTTTTTTTAAAAGACATCTATCAGTAAAAACCGCAATTACTTTCTTACCAACAATATAAATATATCTTGATAGAGTAAAGTTTCAGCTTTAAAAATCTCTTTTTTAAATTATACGATACGACAATTTTTAATGGAGTTATGAGCAATTAAAGTCAAAATAATTCTTTTATTTAATCCGCGATAACTCAGTAATCAAAAGTCGTAGGAATATTTAAAAAAAACGATTTTGTAGGGAAAGTATCAAGCTTTCACGATAGGTAATCGAAAATTTTCTCAAATTCGTTTTGGACACGTTACAAATCCACAAAGTGAGAAGAAAATTTTTCGTCTTTTTCAGCTCGTAGTTTTTGGTATGTAAAAATTATCAAACTCATATAAACTTAAAAAATGTGATAAGCTTTCAAAAGTAGAGATTTCAAGCTTTAAAACCCTTTTTTTAAATTTGAATTTCATTCATTATTGACGAAGATATTGTATATACAACTTTGAGGTAAAAAATACGCGATGACTTTTTACTCAACTTAATATATTTTTTTTAAACATTTCTCTTATTTTCACAGTAATTTATTCATTCCTTTTAGTGAGTAAGAAACGTTCATATTTCTGGCGTTGAGAGAACTCCAAATTAAATTTGTCCGCTTAGAATTTTGATTTAGGAGATATATACATATTTTTTGCGAGTCTTTTTATTTCCTCCAGATATAAAGTAGAACGATTCGCAGACTCTCCTTGTTCGCACGTGATAGCTTCCGGGATTTTTCTCGGCTGTGCTCGGACTCGCACGGTCTGTGTGTGTTAGCGACGCGATTAAAGCACAATCTTCCAATCTACCAATGTACAACACTATTCACGCGGTCATGCCCCTATGCATTATTTCTTTTTAGCGGGATCGTTGTAGATGTAGAATTGCGCCGTCTCCCTCTTCTCTTTTTCTCTTTCGTTTTCTCTCTCTCTCTCTCTCTCTCTCTCTCGTGGCAAGTCTGCAGATGCTTTATTCCTGCCATTACCGGGGCCCTCGTGCCGTAAACTCTGAGCACTAAAGGCAGATCTATTTTAACTCGAAAATATCGAAAAAGCCTTCGAAGCATCGTTCTCTTTTTACGATATCCCGATGCTCCTTTTTAAAATTGTATGTAATTTTACTTTCATCCCAAATTTTACAGTGAAATTGTATCCATCAATTTGCTTCTATATTTTTCGTGTTATTTTTCTGCGCGGGAAGAACGGATTTTGCTGGGGCGTAAAAAAAAAATGTAGATACAGATCTGAAAATAATTTCGTTGGACATCCAACTAATTATATGGAACGCTTAAACATGATAGTGGTGCTGTAAAAACCGTTGATATTCTAGGAATCACCTTGAGTGTCCTATACAATTATTTTGATCCAATAAAAATATTTTTTTAATACCTTCAGCGAAATCGATCTTTTTACGTGTTATTGCAAAAACTTAACGCAACGCTTTTACATCGATAAACGTGAATCTTGGAAAAAAATATATAACTACATAATTATACAGAAATTACAAAAACGTTAAAAATAAAGATTCATGGCGGATAAATTTTCAAAAAATCAAACTTTTATACCTGTATATATTTTCTTAAGATTTCATAAGTCTCACGTTTATCAACGAGACGCTGTTACGCGATGCAACTTTTAAACCTATTCAGCCGCACATAAATGTTAATGTTAGTATCAGCTATCTCGCAATGTGAGTGACGTTATCGGTGCATTTCCTGCCGTCTCTCCTTCACCGTTTGTTAACCACATTTTACGCGCGCAAAAAGCTCCCGGTAATTTAACCGGCGTGTCGTATGTACGTACGCATGGATACGACCCACCGGCGCTTTTGACATTTTATGATCGTACATAAAGCAACGTTTCCGTTGCGCGAAAAATGTGCGGCGTTCGCTTCTGCCGCGCGGCAGAAAATAGCCGACAGCATTTTGCGCAACCGCGAGAATTTTGTTGTACTGTTTCTCACGTGTCCTAGATTCATGTCTAATTACAAAATGATAAACAACTAATATTATACAATACATAGTGCCAACATATATACATGCAAATACATAGATAAAATTACGAAGAACAATATTTATCATGTGATTTAGTAAAAAAAGTTTCCTTCAACTTTTTTTATAAATTTATTATAACGCAATTTATTTTTTCTGGATTATGGTAAACATTTTTAATTCTCGGAATTATTCCCTACGGGGATTTCGTGCGCAATTTTTCTCGGGAAAGCCTTCAGGGTCCAAGAGGCATTACGATTTCAGATGTCACTGTTTTTGTCTTCATTTTGCGACCCTTTTCGAGGCGTCGCAGTCCTATCTTCCATCGGCATTATTGATATCCGACACTGTCTGCCCTTCGCACGTGTGATATTGTATGAGCGGGAGCTCTAATGGTTCCCTTGTGTCAACTTTACCCCTTCTGGTACTAGTATTTACTGTTATATGTTTGTTGTACGTGTAAAATCTTACGCAATAAGCCATTAGTCACAAATCAGAAGTCAGAAGCTAAAAACTGACGACTGCGATCGATCAATTTTTAGCTTCTGAT